CCCTTTCCTTCGAAGGCCAAGAGGCCTTCCCACTTTGTATTTGCAGGATCACACACTGATCGTTTCCTTGATTGTCGATATGGGTTTTTTTCACCCGGCCCACGAGGGCGCGGTTTTCCTGTATAGTAAGTTGTTGAAGGTCCGGCACGTCCTAGGGCACAGCGGTGTAGGAATGATAATAATATTATTTGGGGCATCTGCGCGGTCCATTTCGGGTTGGCTGTCGAAGACCCTGACGCCGAGTAGAAGCCCTCGTTTGCGTGCGTCTTCCAAGATGCCAGCGGGGTTATCGTCATCGGGACGCTGAAGTCGGGGGCCCAGGACGGTAGGTCGGGCATCACACGCAGGGAGGGGTCCTCGACGTGGCTCAGGATGTCGAGGACCCCGTCGTCCAGGATGCATTCGGCCGTGTACTCGGTATAGACGTGCTCCACCGGCCGGTTGTACGTCGGCATGGTCCAGCCGGCGGCACTCCATGCCCAGTACGGATACCGGCCGTCTTTGGGGTTGTCTTCGCCGAGGAGGTCCCGGTGGCCAAAGTCGTTGGCGATGCCGATCAGGGCGAAGACCTTGTCCCTCGGGTCCGTGGCCTCGAATCTTCGAGTGACCTGCGCCTTCCGGCGGATGAGAAGCCGGTCCACCATTGTCGTTGCGCCCTGCAGCCAGGCCATCCCTATCAAGACCGTGGTCAGGATAAAGGACAGGTGGTTCTGGCCGCCATAGTAGGATTCTATTACGGGGTGCCAGCCGACGCGGCTGAGGAAGGCGACGGCCGCGGTCAGAGTGGTCCAGCAGATGGGATCCAGATCGCCGCAGTACAAGGGGGCAGCAAGAGGGGTGGCAATGATCTCCTCTACGATCCAGATTCGCCGAGAGTATGGACGCGCGAAGAGATTCACCAGCGCCTCCCAATGCTTGGACGGGAAATGAGGCAGTCCCTGTCGATCCATCGACTTTGCACTGTATGGCGATTCTCGGGTGATGTGCCTCGAGCTACTCATGTGACTCTTGGCCTCGAGCGTTCGGAGGAGCCGAAAGGCCAAACGGCCCGGCGCATTTAGGATGTCCAGCCTTGTGCAGGCCTCGCCTGACGAGGCCGAAGGCGACGACGCGTCCTTGGTGCCCAGCCACATGCAGACCTCGTCCGCGTTGTGGTAGACGCGCTGCAACAACAACACCTGGCTGGCGCGCTCGTCCAGGTCTGCCTGGTTGATGCACAGGGCGTCCACCCAGAGAGTGACGGGGGTGAAAGTCGCTCTGCAGCCTGCGGAGTGCGCCGTCGAGGCTGGTTGAGATCAGGAAGCGCGCCCCGCCGCACCATAGCGCGTGGCATACGAGGTGCTGTGAGCGGAGGGGGTCGTCTTCCTCGATGCGGGCTCCGTCGATGACCAGACCGTCGAATCTGGGGTTCTGCCAGCAGTATGAGAGTGCACGATACGGTGCGTAGTATCGGGACAATCAAGCGGGTAGGTCGCCATTTGACATTCAAATCGCCCGCCATCGCCGGGAAGTAGTTGCAGAAGGCGGAAATGGCTCCCTGGTGGCAGTTTGTCGTACATGTAGGTATACGATGAGGCGCCGGGCGCGTCGGCTTGTTCACCGACGAAGCCCTTCTCTTCGTCGTCGACGACTGCATATGGGTTTGCCATTTTAGGGTCGCCTGGGGTATGGACTCTGGTGCCGCCTGTCCGCTCAAGATTATAACGGGGCGTGTGGTGACTGAATTGTTGTCTAAATAACGATGAAGAGCTGAAGAACAAACTCTTCGGAACTGCAACTCTCAGGGGGCTCAGACGCGACGTGCCGGAGTCTAAGTTAATCCTTGGCAGAAGTCAGCCACAAAATAGGGCAGAGGTACGGACTGGAGTATCGGCGGGGGTATTCAATCCGGATCTTTTTGAGTCCAAAAAGAGGAGGCTTGAGGTAGGCTGACTCGGGGAGAATACCAATGGAGTGTAGAATCAATCAAGTGTCTCGTGTGAAGGTGGCGTTCTGACGGACTTGTTGTTCAACTTGAATGACAATGGAAGGTACCTTAACGTACCTAATACGGCATTCCCTAACTGCCCATCTTGCGGCAATTAACGTACATTATCAGCGAGTGGATCATATCAGCGAGTGGATCATATCAGCGAGTGATCAATTCTCTACTACCTTGAAATACCTATCCTCGAATATACACATCAACACTAGGACACTAACTATAATTACATCGGAAACAGCTGAATCAGACGATTCTGAGACCTTCTGGCAGGTACGTGCATTATGGCCAGGCTTGCCGCAAACACCCAGCACCGAACTTTTGTATGGCTTCGCCCTGTACCACTACCATGCGGCTGCTTTTCTAGTACTCCCTCCCCATATACAGCTTTCCGGCTCAGCAGATCCTGTGCATCTTGCAAAGTAAGCAATCCTCCAAGCTGCACGCGTGTTCCTTGGCTCTACGGCGCTTGCTTAGTGCCTCGTTGGCGTTGCGGAGCGCAGAGACCTCTGACCGAAGGAGAGCCACCTCGTGCATCACAGCCGTTGTACTCTTAGCAAGCTGGTCTACCGCAGTCAACATTGAAGTCGGGAGCTATTTTGATGGCTGGTGATGCGAGTCTTGATGAGCGTTGACTGCGACTCGGCTTCGCGGAGGTTGTGTGGCGTCTGGAACAGCCAAGGTTGTGGAGTGCCGGGGCGTGAGGTCGGGGGTGTTGGCGTACGAAGCTTCATATCCAGCTAAGAGAGCACCCTCTCTGGATTGTACGGCACAAGGCCAGCACCTGCAAAGCCGCCCTGTATATTGGTCTCCGTCATGAAGGCAAAATTGGCCTTGCGGAAGGCACAGAGGAACTCAAGCTTGCTGAAGTGGTTGATATACATACGCATCAACTCCTCGATTTGACGGCCGTACGCCTGCCTCAGCGGTCCAAAGCAGCCAACATCGAGTGGCTGAAGGAGGTGAGAAGAGTGCGGAGGTATGCAGAGCATGATGATGTTGTTCTGCTGGCAGTAGAGCTCGAATTCGGTCGAGAAGTGGCTTTCGTGGCCGTCGAGGATCAATAAACGGTATTTGCCCTTTGTCTGGGGCGCCGTATGGTAGTCGAAGTGCTTGATCTAATCCAGGCCTACCGCATTAGTAGTCCAGTCATTGTCGGTGGTTGCGATACGCCAGTCCGCCGGGAGGTCGCATTCGGTGTACCAGCTGGCGAGGTAATGCTGTGCGGCTAAGATGATGAACGGAGGCATAGTCCAGCCAAGGGCATTGACTCCCTGGATTACCGTCCCCCAAACGCGATTGCCAGGCTGGGCTAGTTTCGCCTTGCTAAGGCCGTCCGAGGTTGTAACTACTGTACCATACCCGCGAAAATGATGCCCATCATAAACACGATCTCGTCGAAGTTGTAGACATCGTCAATCACGATACCGTACTTGGCTATAGTATTCCATACGAGCGTAAACCACTCGCCAATGACCTTTGGATCCTCGCACTTGGCCCTCTGGTAGTCCTATCTACGCGTATCACGCGTGTGGAGCTTTAACTGGCGTTTGACAAATCGATGCGCCCAGAGTTCACTGGCAGGAGGCGCATCGCGTGCACGTAGTAGTTGATCCACTCGCTAACATGAATCCACTCGCCAATATAATCCACTCCTCCACTCGCTAATGATAACTCTGCTGTTTAACTTACTCTTTTGAATTCATATTCCATTCGTTGGAGTCACGGTCTCTTTTTGATTTATTGACCGTCTCATGGCAATAAACTGGCAATCCACTCTGTTGATTTAGATTGAGTACCTTAACGTTAGGCTTGTATTATAGAAAGGTGGGCGAAGAAAACTGAAGTGAAACCGTGGAACGAAGCCCGAGCCCGTGCTTATGATCGGACAGAACTTGACACGTAGCAATCCGCCCATTCAGGCAAGCTGCCGCTGTCTGGCTGTTTTGGACTGCTCCGAGTTCACCCTAGCTGCTGTGACTGTCTTGCCACTCGCCAGGGTCACTGCATGTGCTCTTCCACGCCGGGAATGGAACGGCCCGGCTCTGAAGGATTCCATGTTTGAGCTCCGAGATATCGGCCCACAACAAGTAGGAATCGGGTGATGCTCCACACTCCCCTCGAAAGTACTTCAGTTGTATAACTTATCTCGTCGTCCAACAATATCACGCTGGCCCAGGCTTCCTTCCGCCACCTGTTCTGCTCCGTGCACCTGCACTCAAGATTCCAACCAACGGCGACACCATCAGCACCAGCGCAACACCACCGTCTCACAACAATACTTGGTAATAAAACACGAACAACTCAACAATACCATGGCCTCCCGGCGGTTCTTGGACCCGATCGTGCTCCTGCGCGCGGCCCCGCTCGTCTCGTCGACATGCACGCTCCTCTACGCCCGCGACCAAGACTTCTTCCTGGGGCTCCTGAACCGGGGCACGCCGCGCGAGCACAGCGGGCGGCTGCTGCCGGCCTACTTCGGCGCCTTCTTCCAGCGCGGCGTGGTTTTTGTCGTCGCGTGCATCGCCGCCACGACATGGACGTCGATCGGCAACCTGTTCGTGCGCCGCCCGGCGCTGCACGCGAAGCAGTCGTTTTGGTGGTACGCGGCCGGCGCCGTCTTCTCGGCGAGTCACCTGCTGTTTGTGCCGCTCGTCGCGCCGCCCATCCAGGCTATTGTGAACGCCGAGAAGTACATGTATGCTGGCATCGATCCGAATGTGTTGCTGGATAGGTGGCTGTCGGTCAATTGGATCCGCATGGTGACGGTCGACTTGGCTGCGTGGGTTGCTTGTGTCGTGGCCGCGACCAAGTCGTTGAAGGCTTGACCTGGTTCACGTAAACTCGTCGAGTCAATGGGGAGGTTCAGGATCTGTTGGGCAAGGGCTGCGGCACAATGGTGTGCTGTGTAAGGTAGTATGAAGTGTATTTCGTAACCCCAGTGCTGTATTATATCGAGGTCATCTCCTCGTCCGAAAGGGCGTTCCATCCTGGGCTGTGGGCCTCATTGGCGCTGTTGCTGCATATGTGGTGGCTGTCACGGTCAGGATGAGGATGGGGCTGAGGGAGTTGGTGGATGGTGCCGATACTCGGTAGTCATGGTGAGGGCTCACCAATGCTTGGGGCGAGTGGTACTGGTGGTGAGCTAAGTGACGGTCAACTCATGCCTGGGTCGTCTGCCAGGTGCTCGATCATGGCGGAGCTTGTCCAGGCTGTCTGCTCGTGAGTTTCAGACAAGCTTCCACTCAACTGCCCTCCAGGCGCTGGTGACCTCGAGATGGAGCCCAGAGGGCACGGTGAAGAGCAAGTCAAGCCTGTTTGTCCTCAGAACCAGGGTCACCTCAATCACCACCGTACGGCGCATCATCTACGGCACGCTGATCTTCTCAAGCATATTTAGAGTTGTTCGTCAGCACCTCGGACGCGGTGCAGATCGTGACCCGGTTCCAAGTTAATGCTTCGACTATGATGTGCCGCGTCGTTCTTGTGTTCGAAATCCAATTCGCAGTGATGCAGGAGAGGATCGATACTTCGGCAGATAATCTGCAGGTCTGGCGCGCGGTAAGGGGGAATGCTGGGTTGACGTGAGAGAACTGGGTGCGGCGAGGACTGCTCAGCTGTTTCCATGCGAACCCTCGATTGACCTCGTCCGTCTTCCTGCCTCGTTCCTGGAACCAGGACGGCTTCTAGATCCGCGAAAACAACGACCATCTACCCACCCCCCTCCGCGCCGTTTCGTCGGCTATCACTCTCAGCAAACCCCTCCCCTTGGCAGCTGGTCGGATCGGCGGTTTTGAAGCCCCAACAATGACCTGGTCACCTCCTGCGGCTGAAGAAATGGACCGACAACTAGCATAAGCTGAGGGCCGGCGCAGCCGCTTTGGCCGAATCATTCCTACCTGGGAGTCGATTGGAGGCCACTGAAGCAAAGCAGTTGTCATCTCACTCCCCCCCGCCGGATTGGGACAATGTCTCCCAATCATTGAGCACAAAACGGGTCATATCAGTGTGTATCGACCAGCGTTGCTTATCCTAAAAGAAGGCAACCACTCACGGGATTTAAAGTCGTTAACCTTGGAATGAGGATGATAAGAATCTGCCACAGTAAATCATTTGACAGCGCCACACCGCAACCCACCCCTCTTGAATCGCGCTTTGCCCAGTCTGTTTCCATTCATGCAATCACATGCAGCGCACCAACTAGGTGCCTTACCCTGTTGGCCTGTCCTACCCCGACACGGCAAGCATCCGGACAAGCACGGCACTCTCGATGATTGGTAGCTGATAAACTACTGTACCATGTCTTGGACAAATCTCTGCCTCGTATGCATCTCCTTGAACTGGCCACTTCTGTTTCAGTCCTTGAAGAGTAGATCTACTGGCAATGAACAAATTCCCAATACCGTCGCGCTTCACTCTTCCCTCGACAGCCTCCTCGCTTGTCAATGCAAGCTGTGCAAAGCCATCGCAGAAAGATTCAGGGACAGCAAGATCGACCGAGAGAAGACGGTGTCGGATTTTCTAGATTGCCCTGTGGTAGTCGAACTGGACGCATTTTACGATGGGCTTTTCCAGACTCGGTCAATCCTTGGAGAACATCGTCCCCAAGGACATTATAAGGACATATCCACATCACCCCCGACTGCTGCATAGACGACGCTTCCACAGAATCGCTCAGCTGCTCGTTTAAGATCTGCACCTCTGCTGGTGAGTAGCCATTGCACAATCAACGAAGCATAACTCAAAGCCCTCCGGGCCCAAGTCGAAGAGTTAACTTGCACCTAAGTGGGTAGATTGCCAAGTGATTACTAATATCTGGGCACTTTAACAGAGTACCTCGCACAGCCTTCTCGAGGCTGCCCCAGCCACCATCCCGGATTCGGTCTTCAGTATCTCACCCGGGCCCTCCAGGACCAGCCAGAACAAGGCCTCTCACTGATCGGGCCATGGCCGCTAAGAAGAGAGGGCGTGAGTGGGCAGCTGAGGCAGAGAAGATGGTACGTGGTCTCTGGGAACAGCAATATCGAGATCGAGACTCAGATCCTCGATGGAGCGTGTCATCTCCGACCTCCCAAGATATGGATCACTCGGATCTTGATGAGAACCAGCGAGCCATCCACTGAAAACGCAACCTCAGCACGATTAGCAGTAGGCCGTCGTCTTCACAAACGGTGGATGAACTAGATCGTTGGCTTCTCTCAATCCAGGGGAGATACCTTGACCCAAAGGCCGACCC